CACAGCTATATTTAAAAAGGTTTTCAAGAACAAAGCATTAATCTGTGGAACAATACCAAATAGTTGCATCTATAACAAACAAATATATGGTCTCAAAAGCATCTGGAAAATATAGTTGGAAAGCTATATATCAGCACTATTCTATCAGCTCAATAACAGTGAGGCCTCTGGTTTGACTACTATAATCTGATTGAAACAGAGCCAGATCAAAAGTTGGGAACCTGGAAATATCTTAGATAATCCTGTGAACTCATATAAAATGACCAAAGGAAACCTGGCAGCTGTAATATTGGCTTTGGCCAAAGAATTACAAATTACCTTTCAAAGTTGAAGATAGAAGAAAACCTTTAATTATCGGGAAGGTATCTTATCTATTAAATCAATACTGCAGAATAGTAGAGAATATGAGAAAGCCATTCCATCACTTCGTAAGCACAAGATTATGTTCCTAGATCAAATCATTAATTCAACTATGATGATGCTCAAGGAATAGAGAACAATCCAGATTTTTTTCAACAAATGCAAAGGTTCAATTCCCTCTTGATATAAAAAGGTCTAAGAAAAGGTGATAGAGAATCATGACCTTCTAAGAAAGTCATTACACAGACTAGACTGGACAGGCTACAATATCCAAATTGAAGCTTTTCCAGCTTATCCAAATAGAAGGAAAACATACTGGGTAGCCTGCTCTAGCTCTCCAATGGAGAGATTGGGAAAGATATCATCCTTGAATAACAAAATTCAATTTGTTCCATATTAATTGACATACAATTCTACTAATAACTATACTCTACTTCAACCAGATAGATTATTCCAAGTAAAAGAAGTAGGTATATTACAAGTCCGTCTTCTTCCACAGCTAAACAAACATAAAAATTTGAGAAAAGGGAAACAAGTTCTCCTACCTGGCAACCCTACAGATTGGCTTATAGATATAAGGCAACAAGCAAGAACTCCACTAATGTCTAGACCAAAAGTGGAAATCCAGGTAGAAAACTGGGAAGCCATATTAATAAGACAAGCTATCCAATTAAATGAATATATAGATGAACTTATAGATGTCCTGAATTATAATAGAATGAGTATAGCTATCCAGTATACTTTTTATATTAATGGATCATATAAAAAAGCGACAAAAGATAGTGAGCTTGAAATGGGTTTGGCTTGGGTTCTAGTAGAAGACAATAAAGTTGTGAAGCAATTCTCAGCAGGAGTATCAATATAGCCATCAGCAATTAGGGCAGAAATATTGGCTATTCTAACTACAATAAATACAGCTCCTCAAAATACAATAGTCTCAATATTCTTTGACTGTAATACTGCAGTTAAGACATGGAAGTCCATCAGTGTACAAGTGGAGATATTAACAAGAAGATGGACAAAGACTACTAATTGGCCATTATGGAGTAGAATCAAAAATTTAGTTAAAAAAAAAGATCTCATCTTGGAAATTATAAAGATTAAAGCCCATGGAATCGATAAGTTCAATAACCAAGTAGATCTGCTTGCTAAACAAGCTAGACATGAAAATCCAATAATCTGGCATCAATTACAAGAATTAGGGACAGTTCTGACAACAGTTACATAGAGAGAACACATGATAGACATCAGTATTAGAGAATTTGTTAAGACATTCAACAAGAAAAAGATAGGAAAAGATTGGACAACACAGAAAAGGATCCAAGAACTGTGGATCCAAAATGACAAAATCATAGACTGGTTGATCTTCTGGAATCAGTTCAATCTATCTAATACCTTCAATACCTCTTTCAAAGATAATAAAGACAAAAGCTTCCTAACTAACCTGACCCATAACGAACTTCTAGTACTAAAGATATTGAAGAAAAAGAAATTAGATATTTATATCATAATGACATGTCCAGTATATGAACTTCAAGAAGAAACTTTAGGACACTTGTTTGAATGTTCAGTCACTAAAGAAATCAGAGAAGATATATGGAGAAAAGCAAAGGAAAAGATCAACCGATATATCAGTAAAGAAATCAAAAACAAAGAAAAAATCCATCCTACAATCAATAACTGGACAAGTAAATGGTTAAATGAGATTTTGTGATCTGATAGAAACCTTTTCAACACTATTTGTGGATACATAGAAGAGAACAAAACCATCTTCTTAAAGAATTACCTCAAAGTACAACTCAAAATTCCCCTAACAGTCACACAAAGTATAATAGATAAGCTTTGTTATAAAATGAGAAAAAATTTCAAGAAGGACATATGGAATAGCTGCTGCAAAAAAGTTATAGAGTGGAAAAAAAAGCAGAATATTACTGAAAAGGACAAATGAATCAAAAGACATGGGCACTGATCTATCATGCAGGTTATACAAGAACAGGAAGAAGAATCCACACTTGCAGAAGATCCTGAATAAGAAGTCCTTGAAAGAAAGGAGAAAATGAAGTATATAGAAATCATCAAGGATTGGATTTGTTATGGAAGGAAATGGTTTGGTTTTTAACTGCAGTTAGAATTTAGAATGATCTACAATAATAACCTGTAGGCAATGATTTTATTGACTAGAAGATTTATCCAAGTTAGTAAAGGAGCAAAATATTATTTCCTAAATTGCATCTAGAGAAATAGTTTTTTGATGACAAGTAAGTTAGTATGTGAAAGTCAAAATAATTTGTAAATATCTAATATATATATAATAAAGACAAGCCGTGCTGATCTGACTGCGGATTAAAAAAAAAAAAAAAAAAAAATTTCCTTTAAGATAAAAATAGTAAAAAATACAAGAAAAAATATATAGCACAAAAACTCTTTCTGTTGATTCTCTGATCACATACAAAAAAGATATTCTCAAGAAGTTTTATACTTCCTTGCTAATAAAGTCTTTATACTTTTATTAAACTAGCTTGAAGCTTGTCTTCATATATCTCTCCTATCCTCCCTTACTTATTTATAAACTCCTTTGAATAAAAACTTGGGTCTCTAGTGACCTAAAAAGATTCAAGTATGCACTTCCTCTACTAAGGGTAAGAAGGTTCTAGGAAGTAAAAGGACTGACAAGTGAAGTGCCACCTTACAGAATTGAAATGATAGAAATAGAGATTTTGTTGGTAGGGGAAGGCTTATTATTCACCTTCTCAAGCTTTTCTAGTCCTCTTAAAGTATTTACTGTTTTTCACAGTTTTTTTTGAAAAATTTTGCCTATCTCAGTTTGATCCTGAATTTCTGGTAGCACAATATCATCAGGCTTTTGATTGGCTAATATGAAACATATTAGTAACTAAAAGTAAACAAGCTCCTACTGGTCACCTCATATATTCCAATAACATCATTGATAATTGAAAGAGTTGATTGATACCCTATGTTTGCCCCACTCCTCCAATTGGGATAACTTACAGATCAAGTTCCATGAGACCAATAAGATATAAGCAATAAGTTTCCAGGTAATAAAAAAGCTGCTATTTGTTTAAGATGAGATTTTTCTCTCCTATCATTCTGGTCAGACAAAGTTCAAGATCAAGGTCTTCTTTTTATCCCAGTCAGGCAATAAGACTGAACGGTCTTTAGTCCATGTTAAGCTCCAACTCTTTGGTTAAAGTTGAAAATGCATTTTTCCAGAAGTTTTTGAAGGATATTGTAATTGATAAGGATCTCCACTGCTCTTCTGATACCCTCCCACCATTGTGAAGCAAAAAGATCTTTGGAGAATGACTATTTTTGGCAATGAAAGATATATACCAGTAAAATTCTTTTAACTAGATGTGACTGCTGAGAGATATCATACTGAAACAACATGACTCAGTTTCTACTAGGTCATATAAGAACCTGGAGTCCATCATAAGTCACTGCCTACTACAGGTGAATAAAAAATCACTGCCCAAAGAAGGTTGGGATCAAGTGTGTTCTGGAAGTAAAGGCTCCCATTAGGCAATAAGTTTCCTTAGACGGTACATGAGAAGGAAATCAAGATCAAGAATGGATAAGTTCTTCAGATGGTCAGAAAAAGAAAGAATATCCCAATCAGGCATTTCTTATTGAGAAGAGGTCTTGAGAAGTAGGTTTTTGGAGGAAGCTGGAGATATTTTTTTTCAATTTTTATATTTTCATTTTTTTGCTATCTACTTAGACATTTTTAAATATCCTCCATCCTTTTTCTTCATCCTATCCTTTTGTGATTTCCTGTATTCCAGTGGCTTGGTTCGACATATAGCAGTGACAACCTGCTGGCAATAATGCAGTAAACTAGAAGGGTCTTTACCCAAAGACACTGCAGAGCAAAATATTGTTCCCAAGGCTGAACTTAAAGGCTATTATGCTTATGACAAGTTAGTTAGATTATGATAATAGTTTAGCTGTAGTATGTATCATGCTGCACGAATGAAAATGTATTTATGTTTTCAATTGATTAATAAACCGACAATCTAGCCTGGCTATGGGTATACAAAAAAAAAAAAAAAAGTAAAAAATACAAGAAAAACAAAATATGCACCATCTAAACAATCACAAATACTACTCCAACAATAATGGGTAGCAAAAGTAGACAAAGGTTACTTACTAGAATAGAAAAAACACCCAATTTTCCTATTCTGATGAAAATATAAGTTGATAATAATATAAAATAGGACTCAACATATTGGGGTAGCTATATATGGCTTTGGGGCTGGCTATTCCCTCCCATGAGAGTTCTATTTTATATTAAACTATAATTTCAAAAAAAAATCAAATAAAATTACAAGATTTAAGAATTATATTAAAAAATATTTATTATTTATATATATATAATTTTACTACATATTATATTGAAATAAAGTTAATTCCGCGAAATATTAATGTCAATTTTCAGTTTCGCGAATTAGCGCAAGACTTTGATCGTTACCAATGGCAACGGTTTTAATAAATGACATGATACATTCCAAATGCACAGCCGACAACATTTGTCTAAAAATCTCAAGTGTGACGTTCTGCGAAATCTTTATTCACTAATGCACTGTGCTTAAGATGCTGTAAGTACTTTTTACAATGAGAAACTACAAGTATTCCTTGGCAGTAATTTTTTTACCAAGACGTTTTACCAACAATACTTGTCCTAACACATTAATTTTATGAGATCCAGTATGATTTAAATCTACTCTTTTTAACCAAATTCTTGCACCTCCAGCTTCTGCAGTCAATCTATCTGTAAATTGTAATTGTGACTCCTTACCCATAAAATCATAATATGACCATTTAGTACAAATTATCTAAAATTCCGAAAGGATCTTGCTTTTGTTTTTTCACGGAAGGAGGGGAATCTGTGGTACTGTGTAGAGGCGATGATGGTGGAGATGGCGTATTTAGTCGTTTTTGAGCGATTGTTCGTATTTTCTTAACCAGATCTATTAATGTGTGCTATTTAGAATTTGCAGTAGAGATCAGTTAATATCAGTGATTTGATGGAAAAATATGCCATAGCCAAAACATACTCGTAATGCTAAAAGATTCTTCAGGAAATCTGGCAGAAGGTCTTCCATATCTGAGAATGTCGTAGGTAGTATAAGCGTTGCCATATCAACAAAAAAATAAAAGTTCTGCAAATTATCGTAGGAAAGGGAGTAAATAGTCCATCTTGTACCTATGTAACGTGAGAAAGATTTTTGGTGAAAAAAAAAATCACTTAATGCATAACTCAAGATGTCTTTTGCCTACCAGTAATTTGGATGCCAAGAGCGAAAACCTCTTCTAGTTCTACTTTCTTGAAATGTAATTTTCCCCGCAAAGCATCTAAGCAATCTTTCATCACCACCTTTAATTTTGAGTGGTCTTTTCGATATTTTGTGCCATCCATTGGTCCTGAGGTATTTCCCACTTCAAGTGGTAGGAGTTCAATTTTATGACTTCGCAATGAGACGATTAGATCAATTTTTTTCATATTGGGAGTGAGTGTCATGTATTCTTCGTGCACATCCTTTCGTTTTCGATTGGTGACACTACAAGACTCCTTCTCGATCCTAGTCATTTTTGGTTAATACCACAATAATTATGTCGTAAAAGATACCATTACTCACCAGTTAAGCTCAAAAATACCGATATCAAATTCTTCTAGGAGAGTGCCAATTATCTGGCCAAGAATCTTAACGATAAAGTCCCGTTCTCGATGTTGCATGACGAGGATATTGATTTCTCTTCGTAAGCAACGGTGGCTAAACAGAATCCAGTCAGCATTTGCGAAGAACATCCAAAGTTAGTGTTTAAAACTTACAGAAAATCGATTATTTCGACAGTTAGTTTTGCGTCTATAGATTTTATGTTGGAAAACTTAGCCTTCCATTGTTCCAAGTCATTTAAGGATCGCTACCAATATAATAATAATTAATAATTTTCGAATATACTGTGAAGATAAAATAAAAACTACATACTATTTGACAAAGTTCATCACTTAGCAATTCATACACATCTTTATCGATTTTATCTTTATGGAGCTTCTTTCTTGATCTGTTAAATAATTGTACATAATCAGATGTTTTAAGAATTCTATTCCATTCAACCTTGGTCCAGTCGGAGAGATCGATAATTCGTGATTCGATTGATCTGAAATCATTTATTTTGTCATCCAAATCATAAGGTAACATAAAAAAAATCCAGCAGATTACAACACATACTGCACTCTCAAGTTTTCTTCTTTCAAACGTTCCATCACTTTTTTCCATATCTCTTCAAGAGTAAATTTCGATTCTAAAAGCAAGCATGATATCTGTATAGGTATTGGATATTATTCAAATGTACTGTTCAAACAAGCGATCTGTTCTCATTGTATTACCTTGCTCACAATAATCTTATCGATTACTGCATCATCCACCTCTCGATCGTTAGCTTGTTCATTAAAATTAATGTTATGCTGATGACTCGAAGTTTGCATAGTTTCTGAAATGTTCTTGAGAAGAAAGAGATGCGTATACATAAATAAGCAGAATACGACTTGTTTTGACATAATGACATCAACGAACCTCGACTTTATCTGCTATTTCTTCTCTAGAAGACTCATCATCATTTTGTTCTTGAGGTTCTTCAATCGGACGATCATTTTCTGCCTCTGTAATCCTCTCTCGTAATTGATTGATGAGTTTCCGATTCTCATGTTGATCCTAAAAATTGTTGATAAGTCAATCAATTGCGAAACTCGTTTTCAAATTTTCCTAAACTTACCTTTAAAATTTCGGCTGTGTAGCCGGAAGTGACATTTATTCTCCTTTCCGTACGATATTCAAGATCGTTGATGAACCGCCTCACTTCGGCAGAGGAGAAGCATTTGTCATAATTAGCTAATAACTTCTTTACTTTGTTTTTTGCGTAGGTGTGAACATTGCATTTATCTTTATATCCTTGTAATATTGCGTATAAATCCTCTTTGAAATGTTCCAAGGTATCCAAGGATAATTTGGATTGTGAAAATTCTAATATACCAAGGATAGACCAACTTTTGCTGAGCGTTTTGTCAAGATATTCTGTTATAGTAGTCTCATACATCTAAAAGTATATGCAGATAATTAGTCGTTTATCCATTTGAAGTGTATTAACAGTAATGATTGACCTTATGATATCGTCTCAAGTCTTAAAGGAATAACAAAAGATTACGCGACGCGTGACGGGTGCCTTTTAAGGGGCTCTGATACACATTCACGTGATTACATTAAAATTTATCGATTTATCGCTAGGGTTATCGTTCACTCACATTCACAGCCACGCGTATCCCTACTGTCGTTAGGCCATACCTCCCTGCGTTCAGATGTTTGGAGGCAGTCTGCCGAGCTGTCCTTAAACACACGTGCTTAAGACCCTAGTCCCGGCATGCTGTTTTCCAGGATGCGTTCACTATACCTACTGTCGTTAGGCCATACCTCCCTGCGTTCAGATGTTTGGAGGCAGTCTGCCGAGCTGTCCTTAAACATACGTGCTTAAGGCCCTAGTCTTGGCATGCTGTTTTCCAGTATACAGCTGGCTGTGTTTATTCGAAACTTTTTTTGTCTTATCTCATTTCAGAAACCGTCAAATGCATATACAATTTTAATCAAAGAGGGAGGGAGTACGCGGATCCTAAGTCATTTTACTCTCAAAAATATAACTAATTTATTTCTATCAATATAGCTAACTGAAAGATTCTCACCCCACGCTCTTTTACTATTCTAGATTTTCTAAATATATTATCCTACCCATATCTACGCCTATCTATATCACTACCACCTGCACAGACTATGTAAAATAATATTTCCCGCAAGAGAAGTTTTCTGAAAGGAAGTAATTTCGATTCTATATTAGCAATGAGATATAAAAAATAATCAATGCAGACGTATTACCGATTCATACTCACCACTACGATTCATTTTCATAACATTCCATTCCGCCTGAAATTTGTTGCTTAATCAATTTTTTTATCGTCAGTATATACTGCGTCAAGTATCAAGAATTCGGCACGTGAAGATGTTTAATTTTACTGCGTCGATGATGCACATAATATCCCATCACGGGGATTTATTTTTGTACGCGTGATTATGATCAGTGATTTTCTCGGCGAAGATCAAAATGCCGATATATAACAAGAATAGTAATATGTCCGTTTTATTTGGAACATTTATAGAGGCGGGAAAATCGATTAACATCGTGATGACATGTTTCAAGAAGCTAGCTGAGCACATACCTTGTTATCACTTTACGAAATATACTTGTTCGTTTGGATAATAATATTGATGGTGTAAGTTTGATTATTATGCTTGATTTTTTCATTTTACTTGCACAAAGCAGATAAAAGGGCACATTAACAGAGACATCACCTTTTTATATAATTTGCAGATCTATTTTGTTATACGCTTTTGGAGGAAATTACGTTAATATGATCGCATCACGAAAATCTGATCAACCACCTCTCCTTAATTTAACAATAAAAGTATTTAATGCTATCCATATGTAAAGATCATCAAGGGGGCCTTTTTTAATATATGTAATAATTTTGAGAATATGCGAGAAAGTTTGAGAATAAATTATTATGCGCAGTTGCTTGTTCCCATAATACGCAAAAGCATACATAACTGAAAGTAAATCCATCTTAACTGCATAAATATCTTGTCCGGAAGTTCCTCTCCAATATTGTTTTTTCGCTGGCACTTTTTCATACTGTTTATTCAAAGATAAAGCAAATCTTTCGTCGATATCATACTGCACTGGGTGATAGTCTCTCACATGACCAGCCTATCTACAATTGCGAACTTGAGTTTATTGCTTGAAGTATTGCAGGTAAGACAATATTCCAACTTATCTTGGGAATATAACTTTGCTAATTCGGGATCATAAGGGAACTGGTTCCCATTTTCGCAGTACCATGAGCCATGTAATCCATAATTCCCATGTTTTCCATGATCAATCCACAATCATATTATAGCTTAATTTTATTGAATAAAATTTATAATAATTTACAAACTCTTTCACAAAGTGACTAACTTATCATTATATATAAGTACTTTAAGTCAGATTTTGAAATCAATATTATATTCTCCTAATATAATTGGATCAATCACTATTTATCAGAATTATTATTAATAGTTTGTTATTACTAATTGATCTAAAAATCAATAAATTGTTAAATTAGAAAGAAAGAAAAATATAAATAAAAGAAAAGAGTAATTCATAATCTATAAAATAAAATCAACCTTCTCTTAAAAGAGATTTGCCTAATTAAAATAATCTTCTTGTTTTACTTGAACCTTAAAAAAAATTTTTTTTTTATTATCTATAGTATTGAATAAGTCGATTTAATCAATTCTTCATTTAAGTAAGTAATAAATTAAAATATCTCAAGAAAAGCATTTAGATTATAACTTTTGATTATTAAAGTTTTGTCATTATCGAAAAAACTTAAGTAAGAAATAAAAATTGTCAATTTATATTACTTATCTCTTGATCTTTTGATATTATAAATATTTTTATTAAGAAACTTAGACTTTAAAAAAATAAATATTTCTGAAATATTTATTTTAATCATCATATAAGTATAATTACTAAAAATTTATTTATATTTTAAAAATTAATATATTTTGTATTAATTAATTATTATTAATAAAAATCTATATTACCAAAAATTCAAATTTAAATTGAGATAGATAAAATTTTTCAAAAAATCATAAAAGTTAAAGTTTTAAAAAAATCAAAATAATCAAAAAAAAAGAAAATAAGTCTTTTTATTGTAAAGATTTTTTATAAACTTTTTATTTCAAATATTAAAAAAATCTTTAAATACTTTATAATTAGTTTTTCTTTTTTTAAAAACTTTTTTGTCATTAATATTAAAAATACTATTTGATTATTAAAAGTTAAGTTTTTAAGTAAAAGAATTTATAAACAATAGATAAAGAGTAAAGACAACACTTAAAATTATATTTCAAATTATTTTAAGAAAGGTATTAAGACTTTATTAATAAAAAAATAAAAAATTCTTATAATCATTTTTTTATATGTAATCAAAAAATTAATAAAAAAAAATTTTGCAAAAATTTTTAATATAAATAAAATTCAATTTTATAGTTTATATAAAATTAATTAATTAAAGTAATATTTTTTTTAAAAAAATACAATTATTGTTTTAAAATAATTAGAATATATATATATATTTTTTTTTTTAATCTGCAGTCAGGTCAGCATGGTATGTCTTTATTGTACAGTATATACGCTAGATATTTACAAAATATTGTGACTTTCACATACTGACTTACTTATTGTCAAAAAATTATTTCTCTAAATGTAACCTAGAGAATAATATTTTATTCCTTTACTAATTTGGATAATTCCTCTAATTAATAAAATCATTGCCTATAGGTCATTACTGTAAATCATTCTAAGTTCTGTCTGTAGTTAAAAATCAGACCACTTTATTTCGTGATAAACCCAATCCTTAATAATCACAATATACTTCTTTCCTTCTATTTTTTTGATGTCTTCCAGGTTCGAATCCTTTGAAGGTAATGGTAATCTATAACTTTGGTACAGTGAGTATTCCAGATCTCCTTTTTGAAGTTTGCTCTCATCTTTTGACAGAATTTATCAATTATATCCTATGTGTTTGCTGGTGGGATTTTAAGCTGCTCTTTGGGATACTTCTTCAAGAAGGTGATCTTGTTTTCTTCCATATATTCACAGATGATATTGAAAAGACCCCTGTCAGATTTTTGGATCTCTTCTAACCATTTGTCTATCCAGTTACTTATTTTAGGTTGAACTTCTTTCTTTTCTTTTATTTTTTTACCATGAGTTTATTGATCTTTTCATTTGCCTTCCACCATAAGTTCTTCCAAGTTTTCCTAGTGATTGGGTATTTAAAAAGATATTCTAGTATCTCTTCATGAAGTTTGCATAATGGACAAATGGTTGTGATATATACATCTGATTTTCTCTTCTTAAGTATCTATAGAACTAAAAGTTCATTGTGGATTAAGTTAGTTAGAAAGCTTTTGTCTTTATTAATTTTAAAAGAGGTATCGAAGGTATTAATTGAATTGAACTAATTTCAAAAGGTTGGCCAGTCTATGATTTTATCATTTTGAATCCAAAAATCCTGGATCTGTTTCTGTGTTATCTAGTCTAATCCAATCTTCTTCTTATTGAACATTTTAATGAAATCTCTAATACCAATTTTTATTGTGTGTTCTCCCCATGCTACTATTGTTAGGACTCTTTCTAACTATGATAGCTGATGCCAAGTTATTGGATTCTCTTGTCTAACCTGTTTGACAAGTAAGTCTACTTGATTATTGAATCTGTTGGTTCTGTGGACTTTGACCTTTAGGATTTCCAGATTAAGGACTTTCTTCTTTGCTAGGTTTTTGATCTTATTCCAAAGTGGCCAATTAGCAATCTTTGTCCATCTTCTTATAGATGTCTCTATTTGTGAGCAGATGGATTTTCATACTTTGACTGCAGTATTGCAGTCAGTATAAATTGTAACTGTTGTATTTTGGAGGACTGTATACAGTGCAGTGAGAATAGCTAGTATTTCAGTTCTAGTTGCTGATGGCCATATAAATGCTCCTGCTAAGAACTGTTTAATTATTTTATCTTTCTCTATCAT